TGTCACACTGCTACTCCTTTAGCAGTGAGGGAGGTTGAGGAATAATAAATAAGACATGTAAGTAAATATGGGAAGTATTTTCATTACAAAACTTCCAAATACAAGGCACAGTGTCATACTGCTTTGGTGCCTGTGTGGCAACAGATTACACAAGGCGAGAAGAAGGTGTTCTTTCCCTTTCTTCATGGCTTATAGCCATGCCGTGAGGCACAGAGGGCTTCAGAGATCACAGAACCTACTGAGCTTGTTGAAGTCTCCAGTGAGGTGGCCACATCTTCAGCAGCTTGTTCCTGAGCACCCCGAAAACATCTCCAAGGATGCTCAGAAGCAATCAGGAGAGACCTGGAGGGCATGGAGGTCCTACAACTGTGGGTAGGAAGGAGAGCTTGAGATGTTGGTTTCATTATTTATAAAAGGAACCCACTTTAAACATCAGCCCCACATCCCCATCTCAGCCTAATGAAGCCCATAGAAAATAGGCTCATACATTTGTTGAACAAATGTTTATTGCCAGGCACTGTACTAGATGCTGAAGGTAGAGCAAGGAACAAAATAGACAAAATCCTTACTTTCATAGAACTTAGATTATACAGGGAGAGTCTCCGTCTGTTTGGGCTGCTATAACAAAATGCCATAACATGGATAACTCATAAGTAATAGAAATTTATTTTTCACAGTTCTGAGGCTGAGAAATTCAAAATCAATGGCAGATTCAGCATCTGCTGAGGACCCTCCTTCCTGGTTCATCGACACTGTCTTTTATGTATCCTCATATGGCAGAAGGGGCAAGGGTCTCTCAGTCTCACGGGGATCTTTTTTATAATGGCACTAAATCAATTCATGAGGGCTCCACCTTCATGACCTGATCACCTCTTAAAGGCCCCACCTCCTCATACCATTATACTTGGGGTTTAGGATTTTAACCAATGAATTTTGGAGAGACACAACATTCAACCCACAGCAAGGAGAGACAGAAAATTAACAGACTTTGACAATAAAATTTCTGGAAGGACTAAAAATTGGATATAAAAAGAAAAGTTCATTGAGAATATTTCATCAAGAGTCAAAAGAGAAGTTTAGGGAGTGTCACTCTTAGGAAGAAGATACCATCTGTTTTCCATCCGCACTTAGATGACTGCAAGTCATAACCAGCATCTTTAGGAGCCACACCAGACCTTCCAAGGCCAACTCTCTTTGTCCCCTCACTGCACACCTAGAGCCTCATGGCCTTTGCTGCACATGTGGCCTGGCATTGTGATTTATGAGCGTGTTGTCTCTGTGGCAGGACTGTGAGCTCTGCAGCACCTCATGTAATGACAAGCCCATTGCAGGGGCTCCAGAAATATCTGGTGACCATTACTCTGGTGACAGAGTGAATGAATGGAGTCACGTTGCAACAGGTGAGGTTTAGGTCAGACGTAAATGCTTCTTGTCAGGCGCATGAAATGCTAAAACAGCTGTGAGGGGGAGGTTGTGGTTCACACCATGTCAGGCTTCAGCTCAGGGAGGATTAACCCGTTGGCTGCAGCAGGGTTGCTGGGAGTGGGTCATTCTCAGCCACTGCATAGACTGGAGGGTCATGAGGTCAGTCTAGCTCACCGTCCAAAGAGGGCCTGTGCAAATACACAGAGTTTTAGAAGCCTATCAATAGAGGGTGTCATGATGCATGGGACGCTGATGAATCTTAGGCCAAATCCTGAAAACTACTTACTACCTTGACCAGAAAAAGAAAAATGGTGTGTGATCAGTTCAAGTTCTACAAAATGTGTGGAATTTTCATGAATGGCTCTCATTTTACACAGGCCGTTCCCATCTTAAAAAGTAATATATGTCTTGCAATCATCCCTTCAAGGCAGGTAAAACCCTGATGGCTATGCAGAGGCTGTTTGATATCTCTGGGGACTATGGATGCAAGGGAATAAGAACTGAAGCACACCGTTTATTTGGCAGCCCTGAAAAAGAAGAGTTTTTTTTTTTTTTTTTTTAAAGAAGTGTTACAGCTCTTTTAGAATTTGTCTAGCTGTTTTTGCTGGAAAGTTCCATTGAAAAAAATTTAAAAGAAAGAAGGAGGACTAGGGCTGGGTGCCGTGGCTTACCCCTATAATCCCAGCACTTTAGGAGGCCATGGTGGCCAGATCACGAGGTCACGAGTTTGAGAACAGCCTGGCCAACATGGTGAAACCCCACCTCTACTAAAGATACAAAAAATTAGCCAGGTGTGGTGGTGCGCACCTGTAATCCCAGCTACTCAGGAGGCTGAGGCAGGAGAATCGCTTGAACTCCGAAGATGGAAGTTGCAGTGAGCTGAGATCATGCCGTTGCACTGCAACCTGGGCAACAGGGCGAAAAAAGAAAGGGGGGACTAAATAATGAGAGCACACCTTGGCCATTGTTTGTCTACTTTGACAAAGAGCATAGTAGAAATGCATTGTATATTATGATCCAGCCCACAGTAAGGTTACATTACCTATCTACCTACCTGAGCTATGTATTTCATAAAAAATACTTACCTTCATGATGTGCAATGTATTCTAATATTTTCTAGTATACTGTTTTCCTCATTTTTAGAAACACTGGTAATTGCCTATTAAATTGAGTGGGCAGTGGCTGTCAATTTGCAATACACTGCCCCAGGTGACTTTAGAATGATTTACTGATATGGTTAGTTGGGATTGAAATTGCATTCTGTAATGTGGGTTGCTGGAACACCTCAGCCCTTCAGTCTGTGCAGAAAATTTGATGTTTGTTTTTGTATTGCTCCAGGCAGGTTTAGGAGCCTGTTAACCGCATGCCCAAGCCATCCTGGGTGAAAGGTCAAGAGTCTGCGTGAGCAGAGTCACCTCCTGCAGGTCCCTCAGCCTCAAGGAGTCTTCCTCATCTCCACCCACAAAATAGAAATCTGTCAAAATCTCATTGATTCAATAAATTTATAATTTATTTAGGGGTTATTACAAATGCTTGTCTCAGAAATGCAAATTTAGTCAAGTAATCATTTTGAGTTCCTACACAGAAAATTTCCAGATTTTCCCTCTGTACCCTAAAATGCTAATTGAGGTTGGGGCATTGGGAAAATGAAACTCCTCTTTCAGGCAAAAGCTGTCTTCAAAGAATTTGTAGTGTCAATTTATTTGGATTACAGAGTGAACATTTGGCCTCAAACTAGCAGGAAGAAGCCCAGTGCACCCCCATGTAAAAAGGGCAGGGCTAATATGTAAAAAAATTCACTTACCAGTAACATTATACTGAGAAAAAGGAATGTTTTGAGTATTAGATATCAGTGTTTGTGTGAAGGCAGAGATGCCCTTAAGATCCACTAGTGAGGAAACAAGAGGTCTGGATCTCTTTTGGTGAGAAGCTTAAACCTGAATGGAAGGATTCATCCTCACCTTTGCTCTGGGACCTGGTCAGGCAGGAACTCTTTTTGTTCACCAGTGTATACTTAGTCAGGAGGGTCCGGCCTAGTCTGCCTACTTAAAAAGCAAATGTGGGACAAATGACAGAGAAAGGTTGGAATCAATGCCTTCCTGGGAGGCCTGTACCTTGCTGCTTTCTCTTTATGTGGCATGAGGGCAGGTGACAGGAGCCAGAAGGTCTACGCTATCCTCTGACACTGTGATTCTCCTCCTGGATGGTGCCAGCTCCGAGCATTGGGCTTCATGTGTGCATTTGCCAGGTCATGTGGTCATCGGGGTGGCCAGGGCAAGGGGCAATGTGTGCCCAATCTCTTTCTTTCCAGCTCTGGTGTAGGCTGTGATGTGGAATCCCCTGAAATCCTCCAGTTAGAGGTGCAGAGATTGAATAGAGAAAAACGTAGCCCTGCTAAGCGCAGTGGCTCATGCCTGTTATCCCAGCACTTTGGGAGGCCAAGGCGGGCAGATCACCTGAAGTCAGAAGTTCGAGACCAGCCTTACCAACGTGGTGAAACCCCGTCTCTACTAACAATACAAAAATTAGCCAGGCATGGTGGCATATGCCTGTAATCCCAGCTATTCAGGAGGCTGAGGCAGGGGAATTGTTTGAACCCAGGAGGCGGAGGTTGCAGTGAGCTCAGATCACAACCACTGCACTCTAGCCTGGGTGACAGAGTGAGCCTCCATTTAAAAAAAAAAAAAAAAAAAAAAACCAGAGGGAAAGACTCAGCCCTTTGATAGCACCAGGGCTCAGCAAAGGCACCCCTTGAGGAAGGAAGACGGAATGTAGCAACACCTGCATTATAATAATGCTGAGGCTTTGGTGAGATCTGCTCTTAGTCGTACAGTTATTTGGCTGCTTTTTACTTCCAGTCCAGTATAATTATCTTTACGCATCCAGTCATCTACTGCCTTAAAGATAGAAAAACTCCTGGGTTTTTTAAATAGAATTTCCAGTCTTTAAGTTTTTTGTTTTTATTTTTTCCCCCTGAAATGCTGGCTGTGCTTTCAGGAAATTAGACCTTATTTAAAGCCCCAACATGTCTAGTTCTTTATGTTAGAGAAGACATGATGTTTGGAACATATGTAGGAGATTGGCTGAGATTTATATCTGTTCATATTTATAAGATCAATGCCAGCTCCCTGGAGTATAGCTCCTACGGGGCCGGGCCATGCTTTCTGCTTGTGAACTGTATGAGGGTCATCAATGGTACACCATACAATATATGTGAACTACTGAATAGATGGACCAATCTTGCTGGTGGGGTAGAGACACTGTGACTCAGAAGAGGCTTATTACTGCTAGGACTTGTATAATTACAAGGAATCTAAAATGAAACAGTTACACATTGTTAAGAATAAAACCAACTATATCTTCTTAAAGAGAGATTATAGTAAATGGGTGGCCCTATTTTCTGAAAGATTTACAAGATTATTAATAGGCATAAGGCCTATAAGAGGTCTAACAGTATATTTATTTTATAGAGAATTTCAAGGCCAAAACTGTTAATAAAGTTAAAATGAAATAATTTCCATGACTATAAATTGCCTTTTTCTTTTTTTTAAGATGGAGTCTTGCTCTGTCTCCCAGACTGGAGTGCAGTGGTGCAATCTGGGCTCACTGCAACCTCTGCCTCCTCGGTTCAAGTGATTCTCCTGCCTCAATCCCAAGTAGGTAGGACTAAAGGCGCACATCATCATGTCCAGATAATTTTTGTATTTTTCATAGGGTTTCACCATGTTGGCCAGACTGGTCCTGAACTCCTGACCTCAGGTGATCCACTCGCCTTGCCCTCCCAAAGTGCTGGGATTATAGCATGAGCCACTGAGCCTGGCCTGGATTGCCATTTTTTTTTTTTTTTTAAACAACAACAACAACATTTTTTCTCTAGCAGTCCCTCAAAGACTCATGAGTATTTTTTTTTTAAACTACAATTAACAGATGAGGAAACTAAAATAGGAAGAATTTAGAATTCAAGATTATTACTTTCCATTTTTGAATAGTTTTCAAAACATTTTCTCTTAGATGATCTCATAACATTGTCATAACAATCCTATAAGATGATGCTATTAGGATTAGTTCTATTGAGGTGGAAAAAGACTAGGAGAAGCTGAAAGCTTGAAGCTCCATACTGCCTTGCCTCTGTCCCCAAAGGCATGTGCTGAAGCCAAGGCAAGGTCTTTTGCCCCTCAGCCCCGGGGCATGGCCGGGACTCAGGCTGGACAGGTTGGAGGGCTCCCAGTGACAGAGCAGAGGCAGCAATGTGGTCAGTAGGCTCCAAGCTTTACTTGCCTGCCACCAAGCTTTACTTAATTCTCAGCCTTCTGTTTTTCTGCCCTGGGTCCAAGGAGAGGCTGGTTCAAGAAACTATGAGATAAACAAAGGAGAGGAAAAGAAGATTCTTTCTAAGCCTATAGCAGGCCTGGCTTATTTTTTTACTTAATCAGAGCAGCATAGCTCCTAGGCTAGAGTAGCCCAGGACCTATCCTGAGTTACTGGCCATGAGGGATTTGCAATTCAAAGAGATTATAATTCTTTAGAGGGTAAGACCATACTCCTCGCCACTTGGCTCAGGAACAAGCCTTTGATTCATTCATCTCAGCCCTCATTCTCCTTAGGGAATAGGGGAGCGGGTATAAAGGAAGAATATAAGATAGACCTGGGCCCCTTATAGGCTAAAACTCATTCATGTATTATAACTGAAGATACTAAGATTCAGAAGGTCAAGTGGCTTGTCCCAAGTCATGCAGCTGAGCACAGATAGGCTGCAAACTTGCTCCTCTCACTCCAAGCCCAATACAATAATGGCACCCATCCTAGCCTTCTGTTTGACCTACAGAATTGCATTGCCTGCTCTCCCACTCCCCATTTCCTGCCGAGTCAGGACACATGGAGTAGATTGTACACACTGGGCTATTGCCACTAAAGAGCTTTGAAACAGAACAGAGGGAATACATGTTAGTATGGTTCCTTATGTGCAGAGGAATGAAAGGATCTAATAGGTGAAGAAAGATTTGAAGGAGCTAAGTAGGTAGGACTGAGTTACTTGATGACTTTGAGGGATATGACATTAGGCTGTACACATTTGAACGGCAGAAATACCTGGAAAGATGAACTATTTAGCATGGAATATGGGATTTAATGAATGAATGAGCAATATGAAGTTAAACTGGATAATGAAAAAATAATTAATGGAGGTAATTCTCTTTTCTTTTTTTTTTTTTGAGATGGAGTCTCACTCTGTTGCCCAGCCTGGGTGCAATGGTGTGATCTGAGCTCACTGCAGCTTCTGCCTCCCAGGTTCAAGCTATTCTCCTGCCTCAGCCTCCTGAGTAGTTGGGACTACAGGCGTGAGCTACCATCCCTGGCCTTTTTTTTTTTTCTCTTAGGGCTGAGAGTAGTAAACAGACTTCAGGGATCTGATATAATCTTAGAAGTTATTTTTTTTCAAACAATCCTTTATTGCAGTGGGATTAAATAGAACAAATGGAGCTTTCTATCCCAGCTAAATTTAACAGCCCATTTTATATAAGTTTTGCACAAATGCTTCTTCTTTCAAATCTTCTCTCTCTGTCTACCATTGACTTTTAACTCCTGCCTGCACTGATTCTCACTGGGCATATTGCAGTAGTCTCCAGCCATCTCCTTGTATTGGGATTTGCCAACTAATTTACCCTCCACGTGGCCGAGGAATAAGCTCTTTAAACTACTTACTAGAACAATGGTTTAAAACCACACTTCCTGGCCAGGCATAGTGGCTCATGTCTGTAATCCCAGCACTTTGGGAGGCCCAGGCATGTGAATCACTTGAGGCCAGGAGTTCAAGACCAGCCTGGCCAACATAGCGAAACCCCCTCTGTACTAAAAATACAAAAATTAGCTGGGCATGGTGACGCGTACCTGTAATCCCAGCTACCTGGGAAGCTGAGGCACCAGAATTGCTTGAAGCTGGAAGGCAGAGGTTGCAGTGAGCTGAGATTGTGCCACTGCACTACAGCCTGGGCGTCAGAGTGAGACTCATTCTCAAAAAACAAATAAACACAAAACCCCTCACACATCCTACTATTGAAGACTTTATATTGCAAGTAACAAAAAGCCTGACTCACACTGCTTAAATAGAAAATTTACCCTCTGGGCACGGTGACTCACGCCAGTAATCCCAGCACTTTGGGAGGCTGAGGCACACAGATCATTTGAGCTCAGGAGTTTGAGACCAGCCTGGGCAACAGTGTAGAACCCTGTATCTACAAAAAACATAAAAATTAGCCGGGCAAGGTGGCATGTGCCTGTAGTTCCAGCTAGCTGGGAGACTGAGATGGGAGGATCACTTGAGCCTGGGAAGTAGAGTTTGCAGTGAACCATGATCATGCCTCTGTATTCCAATTTAGACAACAAAGTGAGACCCTATCTCAAACAAACAAACAAAACTCAACAAAAACATGCTTTCCAGGTTCATGTAACAGGAAGGTCCAGAGGTGAGAGAACTGACTCAATGATGTGACCAAGGACTAAGTTTCTTTATGTCGCCCTGCCATGCCTCCTGAGGTGCCAGCTTCTTTCTGTACTGAGGCTGGCTGGTCCTATGCTTGCAAGAAAAAGGCCACAGCTTGTGGACTAGACACTTCCACACTTTCAAAGGGAGAGAGAAAGAGAGAGAGAGTTCTGTCCCAGAATGCTGGGCAAGAGTTCTAACATTCACTTGATTGGATAGGGTTGGGTCACAGGCCCAACCTCACACCCATCTTGTGGCCAGGGGAATGGAAAGTGTTGATGGGCTTAAGCAAATCAGGAGCTACTCTGCACGTGGGTGTGGGGTTAACTTCACCAGAAGTACCCAGGTTGACTAGGAATGGAAGATTACAGAACATCTATGAAGCTATGGGAGGCACTGAAAGCTGGGTGGGCTGCTAGAGACCCTCCACAATTGAGCTCATGACCATTTGCCCAGTCGTAATTCCCAACATACCCACCCACTTAAATCCCACCTCACGGCCAGGGTGTAGGCATACACAACAGCCACATGTGACTATTCCTTGTTCCCTGAAAATCCACTTCTATGTCTTGCTCAAGCTATTCTGTAATCTAGAATATGCCACCTGCCCCCTAGCATGTTACATAACTACTTGACCTGAAGATCTAGCTCAAAACCCATTTTTCCATGATGTGATGCTTTTTCAGATCCTTCATTAAACAAATATTTCCTCCTGCATTTTCCAATTCATCTACTTCTTCGGGCTGTGCAATACTGGGCAACATATTTAACCTCTCTGAGCATCAGTTTATTCTGAAAGATATAGACAATACTAGTACATATTTCAAGATTCATTGTGAGGATTAAATAAATTAATACGGTAGTCCCCTCTAATCTGTGAGTGATATGTTCCAAGACCCCCAGTGGATGCTTGAAACCTTGGGTAGTACTGAACCCTATACATATTGTACTGTGTTGTTTTGATCTGATTAAGTGACTAACAGGCAGGTAGCATGTGGATAAGCTGGACAAAGGGATGATTCACATCCTGGACAGAAGAGAGCAGGATAGCATGGGATTTCATTATGCTACTCAGAAGAGTGTGTAACTTCAAACTTTTAATTGTTTATTTCTGAAATTTTTCACTTAATAGTTTTAGACCACAGTTGACTATTGGTAAGTGAAATCATGGAAAGCAAAACTGCAGATAAGAAGGGGAGTACATATAAAGCCCTTAGAAGAGTGGCTTGAGTCTAATAAGCATCAGTACATGTTTTTATTTTGCATTTTGTATACCAATGAGCCTTGTGGTAAACTATATTCATGTTTATCTCTTCAATAGATTGTGTGTTGCTGGAGTGCTGACTAACACATATTCACCAATATGTTTTTCTCTGACTTAACAATTGTTTAAGTTGATACATGGTAACTGTACATATTTTAAGGGTACATGTAATATTTTGATACATGTGTAATGTTCAAATGAGGGAAACCGGAATATCCATCATCTAAAACACTTTTTATTTATTTGTGTTGGAAACATTCCAAATGTTCTCTTCTGGCTATTTTTCTTTTCTTTTCTTTTTTGAGACAGAGTTTCGCTCTTGTTGCCCAGTCTGGAGTGCAATGGCGTGATCTCGGTTCACCACAACTTACGCCTCCCACGTTCAAGTGATTCTCTTGCCTCAACTTCCCAAGTAGCTGAGATTACAGGCATGTGCCACCATGCCCGGCTAGTTTTGTATTTTTAATAAAGTAGGGGTTTCTCCATGTTGGTCAGGCTGGTCTTGAACTCCCAACCTCAGGTGAGCTGTCCGTCTTGGCCTCCCAAAGTGCTGGGATTACAGGTGTGAGCCACCGCACCCGGCTTCTTCTAGCTATTTTGAAATACACAATAAATTATTGCTAACTATAGATACCCTATGGTGCTATGAAACACTGGAACTTATTCTTTCAATCTAACTGTATGTTTTTACCCATAAACAACCTCTATATCCCCCAACAGCTGCTTTCCAGCCTCTGATAACTATCATTCTACTCTGTTCCTCCATGACATCAACATTTTTAGCTCTCACATATGAGTGAGAACGTGCAATATTTGTCTTTCTTGCACAGAGCATGCAATATTTGTCTTTCTTGGCTTATTTCACTTTTTATAGTGTCCTCCATAGAACACTCTGGTGTCCTCCATTTTTATAATGTTCTCCATGCTCATTTCTCTTGCTGCAAATGATAGAATTCCATTTCTTTATGGCTGAATAGTATTTTATTGTGTATATATATATCTATGTAAACATAGATATATATATACCACATTTTCTTTATCCATTCATTCATTGATGGACATTTAAGTTGGTTCCATATCTTAGCTCTTCAGGGAAGCTGAGGGTGGAGGTTTGTGTCTTTTAGGATGAACTGAGGCATGTTGTCACTCAAATTTTGCCCCATGACTAGATAAGGAAATTCTTGCTATGCCTGTTATAACATCATCCTTCCATATTCTTTCTCTAGCTCTCTCTTTTTTTTTTTAAGACAAAGTTTCACTCTTGTTGCCCAGGCTGGAGTGCAATGGTGCAATCTTAGCTCACTGCAACCTCTGCCTCCCAGGTTCAAGTAATTATCTTGCCTCAGCCTTCCAAATAGCTGGGATTACAGGCATGTGCCACCAATGCCTGGCTAATTTTGTATTTTTAGCAGAGCTGGGTTTTCAATATGTTGGCTATGCTGATTTTGAACTCCTGACCCCAGGTGATTCACCCCCCTTGTCCTCCCAAAGTGCTGGGATTACAGGCATAAGCCACCACGCCCGGCCCATATTTTTTTTCTTACTTTGTCTTCAGGCTTACTCGAATGAACCAAGGCACTTTGGACTTAGTTGGGAGGCTTTGGAGTAATTCAGATGAGAGACCTCATTGGTAGCCTGAACAGGATCATTATTAGTAATGGGGATGGAGGTAGGTGTGTAGGTTTCAAAATACTTAGGAAAGAGAGTAGACTGGTCTTTCTGCTTCCAAGGAAGTGCTCAATTGCTGCTTATAAAATCATCTCAACCTTATGCTGGAAGCCCAGATGAAATACTGAATGTGTTAAGTGACTGTGACATTTGTTGTCACTTGGTGATTCAGTCTTTACTGGGCTTTCCCACCGCTCAAATGCTGCTTGTGCAATTATTATGCTGTCATGAGGAGGTTGCAATGTACTGCAAACATTTGCTCCAAATGCACGGTTTAATTTAAGGTGTGTTTGGAATTCACAATTACCTAGCAAATAATAATCTTAGATCTTGAGAAACAACATAGTGTAGTGGTTAGGAGCATAGATGATGGAGTCAAACTGTCTCGGTTCAAGTCTCAGCTCTACCTGTATAAGCTGTGTGACATTGAATCAATTACTTAATCTCACTCTGTACCTCACTTTCCTCATCTGCAAAGTGAAGATGATTGTGATAACAAAATCTATTTCACCGGCTTATTAGCAAGTTAATTATATGTGAAATGCTTAATAATGTGCCTGGCACCCAGGGAGAACTCTTTGGTTGCTGATTATTTTTAAAGGAATAAATCCTTAAGGTAAAATCCTATACCTTTCTTCCTTATATCAACATTCTCTAAACCCAATCGCATGCTCAGGTTTGGATTAGAAAGTTTCTTTGTAGCACAGCCCTGAAACTTGATATAGAATCAAAAGCCCATCCCAGAGGGTGGTGCTGACCTTTAGGGCTGCTTAACACCAAAGCTGCCGTCTCTGGGACCCCTCAGGACTTGGTTCCATCTCAGCCACTGGTGGCCTTGTTTAACCCATTACATCCAATTAAAGAGAAGCTCTTAATTTGTCTTCCTAGCACTTAGAATTGGTTAAGATGTTTGACATCACTTCCTGAAGCCAAGATACTCTGCTTCCTCTTTCCCACAGAAGAAAAGCAAAAAGAAACAAATACTCAAATGGAGGAGGAATCTTCAAAGTCTTTAAAAATGTTTACTGGAAGATGATTGCTCCCTCTTTTGCCTTTGATATATTTGTAAATCACTTGTATAATAAATAATACTGGGGAACCAGAAATATCTGCTATAAATATTTTAGAATATTTTCTTCCAGGTTTTAAAATTGTATTTATAGATTGTATTTGACATAGTTGTAATCAAAGTATAGATACAATTTTGTATTCTGAATTTTGTTTCATTTAACTTTATACATATTTCCCATGTTGCTATCAATTTTTTTGTCAAAATTTTTAATAGTTTTGTAGTGTTTCACTGTATTTATTTATTTTTCCAGTATTGAACACTTAGTTTTAAAAGCATGTCTAGGCCAGGCGCTGTGGCTCAGGCCTGTAATCCCAGCACTTTGGGAGGCTGAGGTAGGCAGCTCACTTGAGGTCAGGAGTTCGACACCAGCCTGGCCAACATGGTGAAACCCCCTCTATACAAAAAATACAAAAGTTAGCCAGGCATGGTGGTGGGTGCCTGTTATCGCAACTACTCTGGAGGCTGACAGGAGAATCCCTTGAGCCTGGGAAGTGCAGGTTGCAGCAAGCTGAGATCGTGCCATTGCACTCCAGCCTGGGTGACAGAGGCAAGACTCCTTCTCA